GTGGAATATAGACATCTCACAGATGACCTAACAACATTAGTGAGTATAAATGTCTTGTTACATGCTGCACATAGATTCACCAGTATTTCTTGTAAATTTATCAACAGCAATCAATGACATCAAGGGGCATTGGGATAACATGGGAAATTGGCATTAAAATAGCTGATCTGCTGTGGCCTAGAAAATCTGTTTATGGTGATTGCTTTTTTGTCTACATGCTTGTATCAGTTAGTTTTTTTAAGAAAAAGAGTTTGTTGCTAACTTATGCCATGTACCTTGTGCAATTTAAATAATGTGGCATTTGAAATACATGCTTTCCTTGTGAGTTGTGACTTTACGTTTTATGGAGTGGTGATGATTATTAAGCACATTGTTGAATTCATCTAATTCTGATCCTGCACAAGTCCAAATATCCCATATGTCAACACTATACAGAAGCTATTGTTCCTACATGACTGCATCACCTCATAAAGCAGTTTGTGAGAATGAAAAACAAGCCCCTGGAAACCAAAATGTAACCCCCAAAAAACAAATGGTAGCCCTCAAGAAAATCTCAAAAGGAGGCCTCGAGAAAGAAATTGAGTCTTGCTTCCAGGTGTCTGTAATTCTATATATTTAAACCAGGCAAACCACTCGATTGTATTCCATCATTTAATTCAATCCTGGGATATCACTATTTTGTCTTCCTTTGTTTTGAAATTCAGTCACGATTAATTACATTTCTTAGTGATAGTAATTTTGTGAAATATTCATAACTTTGGTTTGATGAATGCTATTCTTTGTTTTTCTTAGCTATTTCCACTGTTCAAAAAAGCTTCACCAAAGCATTTCGACAAAGTGGTCATAAATGAACTCCGGTACGTTTTGGAAAAAAGCCTGTGAAATTCAAACTCTGTCCAGCTTTTTAACCAATGAGTTCCTAAATTAGGTGGTCCCTGAGGGTTAACAAAATATCAAAGAATAAATTAATGTATGCACCAATTTTAATAAATTTCACGTAGTCAATTTACATACTCAATGACCCGATTTGGAGATTTTTTTAATTTACAATCCTGTCTCAGTTGGTTTAGGAAGTGAATAACTCAGTACACATGCTAAAGGCTGCAAATTGGCTTATGTACATGCTAAATTTGTTGATCTCAGCCTTGGCCGGAGTTATATGAGACAAATAGCCTCAGCGCTTTGGAAATCAGCCAAACCTCCTGCACACCCTGCTACTGCTTTATATATACATTGGCTAAGGTTGAATTGGCTCATTGCAAATATTATTCCCGGTCCAAGTAAGATCTTATACCAATTACTTTAAAACAGTTCTTCCTGGTTATTAACCTCTCTGCTAAGGGGATTAGATCCTTCCTATCCACTCTATCTAGGCCCCTCATAATCTTATACACCCCGACTGAATGTCACCTCAGCCTCCTCTGTTCCAAAGAAAACAAACTCAAGCTATCCAATCTTTCCTCATTGCTAACTTTTAAACTGGCAGCATCCTAACAGTGCTGCAAATGTATCTACACCCCAAGGGCTGCAGTGGTTCAAGATGGCAGCTCATCATTGCCTTCTCCAGGCCAATTAAGGAAAGGCAATGAAGGCTAGCCCTGCCAACAACACCCACTTCGCATATGTGAATAAAATTATACATCCTGGTAAATCTCTGTACCTCTCCAATATGATCACATATTTTCAGTAATGCAATAATCAGAAATTTACACAATAATGTATGTGCGGCCCAACTAGTTTTTCTATAGGCTAGCATTCCTTCCTTGCTCTTTTATGCCTCAGCTCATAAAGGAAAGTTAAGTTTTCCATATGACTTCTTTTCTATCCATCTGGCTACGTTCAGGACTTGCGTTCTGAGGTTCCTCTGTTCTTCTACCATTCATTGTTTATTCCCTTGCCTTTTTTTTGCCCTCCTAAAATGCTTTACCTTACTTCCCTCTGGATTGAATTCCATTTGTCACCTTTCCACTGATCTGATCAGGCCATTATTATCTCCGTATTGTCTACAGATTTCTTCTACATCTGCAGGTCTCTAAAAGCAAGGGATCCAGTGCTGAGCCTTGTGAACCCAACTGAAAACAATCTTCCAGTTTCACAAGCGTTCATCAACCATAACCCTTTCTGATTCCTGTCACTGAGCCAGTTTTGGACCAACTTGCCATTTTCCCTTGGATTCAATGGGCTTTCATTTTTTTTTATCAGTCCTTCAATTTTTTATCAATAATTTGCTCACCACTGAGATGTGACAGACTGGCCTTAAGTAAGGATATCTATCACTTTCTCACTTTTTAAACAATTGTACAATGTTAACAGTCCTATTATTCTTTCCCGCTGCCAATCAAGCTGCCACTGCTCTGCTATTCCATGCTCTCACAGCTGCAATCCCTTATCTCCAGGCTCCCTTTTCAATACTATTTTTGAGGTGTAATTTTTATCTTGAAGCAACAGCCTTATATGTTGTGCATATTGTGAAGTTGCAGAGAACGTGTAACCTAACCTTGATTATTTTTCTCCATAGTCCAGGAAGCATTGTAACAAATAGCAGTGGACTCTATAACTACAGCGTCAATCAGGCAGAAATCAACTATTTAAACAATGACTTAGCAACAAGAGTGCATAACATTGTTAACAACACGGATGTGCTGGAAAACCTTACAGCGTCTGTGGGTAACACCGTGACACTCATTCGTGTTCATGCTCCACCTCCACTGATCAAAAGTAGGTTTTCTACTGACAGACATGTGATATGCAATATTCACTGAACTTCTTTAATCTTTTCTTTCTATATTTTTCACCTGCTAACCCACGCTGGAGTACAGATCTCCACAGGCTCCTGGATTCCTCCATAATGGAAAGTCCTGATGATAGTCACTGTCTAGAGTTAAACAGGGAAACTGGCAATGTATTGGTCTGAAAAACCACATCTAGCAAGAGACAATAGCCCAGATATTCAGGACCCCAGATCACTGGAGACAAAACATACCTCAAAGATGTGTACACATTGCAATCACTTTGCTGGAACTGACTGGGAAGTTGGAAGTTCTAACTGCCCTGCTTCAACGGGACTCTTCTGAAAAGTCTGAACTAGGGTCAGAAACTTTGGATAGACTTACAAATCCTGAATAGTTACCTTAGAGATGCTAAGAGAAATTAAAACCATGTCTAATTCCTTAGTAACTACACAACTGACACCTACCCCACCAACTTGACTCCACCCTCAACCTTAACACTCACACCCTTCTACCCCGCAGGAAGCAGATCTGGCCTCAGTAACTGAGTCCTCCACAACCCTTCAATTCCCCCAAGCCCCTGATTCCTTACCACCTCTCCAACTCCTTCTCAACCCAACCTCAACATCCAACTACCCCCGGCCCCCTAACTCTCCCCTAATCTGATTTGACCTGACCTCATCACCCAATTACTGACCCTTCCCCCATCCCCACCCCTCTAACTCCTTCAAACAAATCTGATCTAACCTCACTACCCATTACCCACAACCCTGTCCCCGAACTCCCCCCGACCTGATCTGACCTGAGCTCATCACCCAACTACTCCCTGACCCCTTAACTTGTATCTAACCTAATCTGACCTGACTTTGATTCCTCCCAACCTGACCTCACCCCCAACACCTTCTCAATGCTCCTGTTTCTCTCTGAACCTTCAAGACACCTACTCCAAGCCTCCAACTCCCCTCTCCATCCTCCAACCAGGCCTCAGCAACCAACCTCCTCACATCTTAATAAAACAAAGAATTGTGCTTGTTGAAGATCTGAAACAAAAACAGAAATTGCTGGAGGAACTCAGCAGGTCTCAGATACTAATACTTTGACTCCTGAACTCCCCTTCAAATCTCCTTGTTCCCCACAACATTTTGACCCTACCCACCAACATCTACCATCTCACATGCCTGCCAACTGTACCTCCTTATGTGTTTACTGTGCCCATTGTACCCCTTCTCTCTGTAGCTTTTCAAAGAAGTTGCGCAACATTTAAACACTTTACGTAGCAAAATATGGTAACTAGTGTCATACAGAAGGGCTTGATTACTCAAACAATTCTCTCTGCAAGGCGTTAGGATTACCATTGACATGGACTTTAGATATGAAACATCTATCAGAAATGATTTACCAGGATGTTGCTGGGAATGGAGGGTTTGAGTTATAAGGAGAGGCTGGATAGGCTGGGACTTTTTCCATTGGAGCACAGGAGTTTGAGGGGTGACCTTATAGAGGTTTATAAAGACATGACAAGTATAGATAAGGTGAATGGCAGGTGTCTTTTTCCTACGGTGGGGATTTCAAGACTGGGGGACATATTTTTAAGGTGAAAGGAGAAATTTTAAAAAGACATGAGGGACAATTTTGTGGAATGAACTTCCTGTGGAATGAACTTCCAGAGAAAGTGGTGGATATGGATAAATTACAACATTTGAAAGTTACTTAGATAAGTACAAGAATAAAAATGTTAGGAGAGTTATGGGTCAAGCACAGGCAGGTGGGGCTATTTTAGTTTGGGATTATGGTCGGCATGGACTGGTTGGACCAAAGGATCTGTTTCCGTGCTGTATGACTCTATGACTCTATCATCTGATTTTATATCTGAGACCTTCATGACCTGATGCAATTTTTAAAGAGATCAAATGCAGACTAGAAATGGCTGTGGTGATCACCTGAACACAGATTGAGGCAAGTCCGAGGAATTCATATGGAAAACACCAAACCATCTACAATGAAATTACCATTTCATTGCAAGACATTGAAACGAGACAACTGAGCCACCATCAGGAAGTTTGTATCCTGTTTAATTCATATTTGCATCATAAGTTCACATAATGGGAAGTGAAAAGTTGCCTGCAGAATTTTCTGCTTGGGAAAATCATGAAGGCAGGCTCCAAAATATGCAAATAGACTCGATATCAGTAGTTTCCTTTAAGTAGCAAAGCAGAGAGAAGGGAAGATGAATTTGGAACTCTGTGTCACTTTGCCTGTGTCTTATTATCTCTCAAAGGAAACTGTTTTTCAAAAGCTTGGGAAACCAGTCATTCACTGTGAATTAGATTTCTATTACTATTTCGCTATTGAGGAGAAAATAAAATGACAGCTAAATCAGCCTGGACTCAGGTTTCACTCTCACAACTCAAGAACTTTAAACTATATTGGCTTTTATTTTCCTATTTGCACTTGACACCCTCTCTGCTTGTTTTTTAAACTTATAACCTGTATTTGTGTGTGTTTGCTGTCAATTTTTAAATCATATTTTGGGATTATAGGTAATTAAAATTCCTTTTTTTTTCATTCATGGAAACCTTGGAATTGGCTCCTTTGTTATGTTCTAGTTAACTAAGATTTAATTGAAGTGTGACAGCTGCATGTTAGAAAGAAAATAAAAATACTTGCTACAACCAAAAGAGGGAGTGGGGTTTAAAAAGAGGGGAGCTGATTACCTTGTCAGAATAAACAATTCCTCTGCAGTTAGCAAGTCTTATTGGATCCTCCATCAGAAAACAGGCCTAAAGCATTGGAAAAAGGCAAATACTTTTTGTAAGATCAGTGTCAGAGGTAGGGTTTCTGACCCAGATTGGATGATTTGGATTAGAATCATCAGGAGAATGGAGGAGGAAAACCGGTTTGGCTTCATTCAATGATTGCCTTTGATCTATCTCAGCTTTCTTCATAACCTTTCCAAGCTGGGTGGTGCTACGCTCCATGGAGCTCTGCTCTCAGTAGACTTAGTACTTGACTATTGCTTCAAAATTGAAAATCACATGTTGTCTGTGCTTTTAGTGAGGTGTCCAAATTCCTGACACTCTGATCTTTTATGTTTATTAACTTCTTTAGATATCACAGAATTGAACATGACATGTAATATAAACTTTGCAAATTACAAATTGAACTGTGGCAATGGAAATTACTGTACCTGCGATGGACCCTGCAGGAGAAACTCTGATGTCTGTAACTATAATGGATACTGTCTCAATCAAGTTGCTGGCTCTACCTGTGTGTGAGTATAGATTTTGTGGTGCCACTCCTTGGGGTAGAAGTTCACTGGCACAATCTATCCTCCAGAATATGGTGTAAATGCTAATTCTTAATGTATGGACCTAGACAGTCTATGGCTGTTATTTTTGAGTCTGTGCAGCCAACAGTGGTCTCGGGCCTGGGCTATACATATCAAGAGATCACAAATGCTCTTCCTGAGACTTTGCACCCGCACATACTTTTGAAAAGGTGTCAGCAATCACAGAGTAGAATTCATAATCTTGGTTTATAAGAAAGAGATTGCATTTATGTACTGCCTGTCATATTCTCAGGACAAAATGTTTCACAGTCACTGTAATACATGCGAACAGTAGGCCCTTTTGTAACGAAGGGAAGCACTGGCAACCAACCTGTGCCCAGCAATGTCCCACAAACAGAAATTTACAGAAATAACCAGTTGGTCTCTTTTAGCAATGCTGGTTGAGGGATAACTGTTGACCAGATTACTGGGAGAGTTTCTCTTCGCTTCTGACAACAGTGCTAAACATCAGTTCAATAAAATCAATTGGTACTTTAGTTTATCCTTTTCATTCGGTAAATGTTATCTCAAACAGTTTGACACTTGTCAATACAGACCATCCAAATGTGCAACACTCCCTCAGTACTAATCCTCTGACAATACGACACTCTTAGAATCATAGAATTCCTACAGTGTGGAAGCAGGCAATTTGACCCATTGAGTCCACACTGGCCCTCCAAAGACCACCCACCACAAACCCCCTACCCTATCCCTGTAATCACCTAGCCAGCACGTCCCTGGACACAATGGACAATTTAGCATGGCCAGTCTACCCAACCTGCACATCTTTGGACTGTGGGAGGAAACCAGAGCACCCAGAGGAAACCCACGCAGACATGGGGAGAATGTGCAAAGTCCACACAGACAGCCACCTGAGGGTGGAATCAAACCTGTGACCCTGGCACTGTAAGGCAGCAGTGCTAACCACTGAGCCACCATGCCACCCTTTCAGCACTGCTTCTTCAACAGTGCAGCATTCCGTTAATCCTACTCCTCTGACAGTGCAGCCTTTCCTCTGTACAGTTCCTCCAACAATGAAGCATTCCCTCAGTACTGCATCTTTGACAGTGCAGCACTATTGGGAAGTGTTGGCCTGGATTGTGTGTTCAAGGTTCAGGAGTGCAACATCAAACCATGGAAATCATGATCTTTAGACTAGATATAAGAATGTTCTGATGTCTAACTTGAACAGTGAAGCTAACTCAGACACCCTAATCATGAGCGTCTGGGTTTAGCTACATTGCATCAAGTAGGATATCACAAAGGAGATCTTGGTCTGTGTAGCACACCAGGTGAGACCTTTATCACTTGAATTATTGATGGAGGTTGCTCCCTTCAACTGTTTGTTAATTCACTCAGACAGCGGTCACATGCTGCTATTTGGGATGATCTTTTGTCTGTTGTACAGAACTACAATTGATTTCATTCATTTTCATTCTGAATTCTTCTCTCAGGTGTTATGAGCATACCTTTTACCAATATACAGGGAAACATTGTCAAACGTTCATAAGGAACTCAAGATTCTATGGTGTGCTGTTTGGTGTGTTGGCAGCTGGTCTGCTCCTCCTTCTTGTCATCATCATTGCTGTTATATTCTGCTGTCGAAGAAAAAGATCACGGTATGTATCAACCTTGTGCTTGTTCGTGTTGTGATTTGGACTCATTTTGTGGAGGAATAGCAACGTTGGCTAATGGAAAAGGTTCCATTCAAGCATCTGTTAAATATTTCCTGTTCAGTTATAACATGCATTAGGTAGAGATTCAAGCTTCCTCTAACTTTCCTATCAAACACTGCCAGGACAGGTACAGCCACAGTTAGATACAGAGCAAAGCGCTTCTACACTGCCCCAATTAAACCTCTCCAAGGCAGGTGAGACGCAGAGAAAATCTCCTTCACACTGTTGCATCAACTCTCCCACAGCAGATACAGTGTGGATTAGACACAGAATAAAGTTATCTCTATAAAGTTCCATCAAATACAGTTGGAGACTGCCCAGTGCATTCCACTTGGCATGGCAGATGAAATTGCCAATGTAGATGATTCGTTGCTTGAATCTTGGTAGGGTGATGGTTGACCATTGCAGCTTGTGAAGATTGACAACTTGCCCACTCTGATTGTAATGTCAAAGAGTGGGGTGCCAGCCAACAGGATTTTAACGGGGAGACAACTTACAGGTTGTTGTCAATTCCAGGGGAATTTGATGGAATACTCCCCGTTTGCTTGGATAGGTGCAGCTCCAACAACACTCAAGAACATTGACACCATTCAGGAAACAGCAGCCCACTTGATTGCCATCCCATCGCTACTTTACATATTCACTCTCTCCACCACTAGCCCTAGGTCATGCATTCCTTAGCTGCACCTTCCAAACTCATAAACTCTCCACCTCAAAGGGCAAGAGCAGCAGATACATCAGAAAACCACCACCTGCAAATTCCCTCCTAGTCACCCATCGTCCTGCATTAAATGTGTATCGCTGTTCCTTTAGTGTCACTGAGTCAAAATCCTGGAATTTCCAATGTAACTATACAAACCTTCACAACGTAGATCAGAGCAGTTCAAGGAGAAGGCAGCTCACTGTCATCTTTCAGGTGTAACTAACAACGGATAATAAATAAACCTACTCAATGGCAGTACTCTAGGATGCTCAGAGGAACAGAAGGATCTTGGAATTTTTGTCCACAAATCCCTGAAGGTGACAAGGCAGGTTAACTGGGAAGTTAAGAAGGCATACGGGACACTACACTTTATAAATCGAGGTATAGTTTATACGAGTAAGGACGTTATGAGGGAGCTGTACAGGAATTTGGTTAGGCCACAGCCGGAGTCCCGTGTGCAGTTCTGGTCATTACTCTATAGGAAGGATGTGACTGCACTGGAAAGGGTGCAGAGGAAATTCACCAGGATGTTGCCTGGAATGGAGCAGTTCTGCTATGAAGAGAGACTGGATGTGCTTGAGTTGTTTTCTCTGGAGGAGAAAAGGCTGAGAGGGAACCTGAGAGAAGAAGTGTATAAGATTATGAAGGGCATGGACATGTGAATAGAAAACAGCTGCTCCTCTTAGTTGAAGGGTCAATAACAAGCAGGCATATTTCAAGGTGAAAGGCAGGAGGTTTAAAGGGGATTTAAGGAAAACATTTTTTTACTCAGAAGGTGGTGGGGGTCTGGAATGCACTGACTGGGAGGGTTGTTGAGGTATACAACCTTACGATCTTGAAATAGTACTTGGATGAGCACTTGAAATGTTGTAACTTTCAAGGCAATGGGCCAAGTGCTGGAAAGTGGGACTAGTGTAGATATAGCTCTGGCTGTACAGACTTGATCGGTTGATGGGCATCTTCTACATCATGTGATTCTATGAAATACCAATTCATTCTGAGAATGAATTAAAAACTAATTTACAAAGCTGTTCTTCTCCCCAGGGGCACTGACCGTCGAAGCTCACTCAAATGGTATTCAATAGATGAAGAATATTTCAGATTTCCACAAACAGGTATGTGTCTCAATTTAACGGTGGGAACTAGTTTAATGCTTTACCAGAAAATGCATTTTCTGAAGAAGGGTCTAGGCCCGAAACGTCAGCCTTCCTGCTCCTCTGATGCTGCCTGGCCTGCTGTGTTCATCCAGCTCTACACCTTGTTATCTCAGATTCTCCAGCATCTGCAGTTCCTATTATCTCTAATGCTTTACCTGATGGTTTTCCCTGATGGTTTGATTGTGTGCAAATTTATATATATGTGTGCTTTATCACCTGCCAATTTATTTTTCTGTCTCTTCTACAGTATTGTAATTACTCTTTGTCTTCTGCTACTTTACCCAAGCAAGTGTTGTTTCAATAGACAGTATGTGCAACAAGACTTTTTAATTGTCTAAGGTATCACAGGCAAGGCTATGCTTGTTCAAATCAGTACAAATGCAGTACTGAGTCTACACTGTGCTAGACAATTAGCAAAACAATCCAAACCCTTTATGCAGGTATATCCTGGAATATGTAGGGCTTCTGTGGTGCAGTGTAGTGACCCCACCTCTGAGCTGGAAGGCCTGGGTTCAAGATCTACTTGCTTCTCTGTCATAACATATCAGAATAGTGTCGTTAAAAATATCTATCTGATTCCACATATCTATCTGTTCATGTATTTGGTTGTGCCTCTAGCACATGAATGAGAAATTCCTACCTGGAACAGTTTTAGGGTTCGTTACAGCTCTTGGATACACTCAACATTCAGCCAATGGTAGCAGGTTTAGCAATTTTAGATTGTCTTCAAACATTGGTCAAAGGTTGGAGCCCCAATTGATAGATGAAACCCTAAAGCGTGGAAGTCCTCCTGGATCCTTTATGTGACAGCTGCTGTTTTCAACTAAGAAGTTGGACTTCAGTGAGTTATTCTCTCAGTTATACTAATAGAGTTTAGGGAGGGGACTCTTGGCTAATTGTACCACAAGCCAGGTGCATATTTTACCTAGTCATCAATGCTAAAATTAAAATGGCTACAAGTAAATAACTTTACAACTTGTCATCTGTACTTTTGATCTTTAAAATTTTATTTACCCTGTCTTTATTCTTTTGCCATGCACAGTATGTGCATATGTCTTAATCATGATTAAATGCATGTGTATTTGGCATTTTGAAGGGGTATAATTTAAGTTGCATAGTAGTAGATTAGAATTTGCTGTTCGTGTTAAAGGGGTGTGTTACAATAAGTAGAACTATTTTACTGTGATTGATGAAACTTGGTTTGAACTGCTTCTGTTCTGAATAGCAGTCAGTTAGGAAAATTGGCAATTTGGATGATTTTATACACTTTGTGATGGCTTGCAGAACAGTAGGTCATGGTTATCAGCACATTCTTCACAGCTAAGAGACACATAAGAGACAACCATGTATCCTGGATGTAATGTAACTTGATATTAAATACTATGTAATAAACTATTGCTGTTTATCAAGATTGAGCCTATTTTCTGCCAAACACTTTGTGTGAGCAACCTCCCCATTTTATATCAGTAGCTTAGGCTCATACCAATAACAATTGGTGACAATAAAACTACCCAAGACATCTCTGATGGTTGAGGTGGATTATCACAGTATGAGATAGTACCAGATGTCTTCATCTGAACATTTAATTTATCCACAACATTGCAAGAGGGGTATAGACTGAAGAAATGTTCAGTTCTACAAAAGCTATAGCTACCCAAAAGAAAGAAGTAAAACTTCCAGACAGAGAACTGCAAGTGTCCCTTTAAACAATCAGCAGCTTAAAAGTATGTTGAGTCCGTCAGCTTTACTGAATGCAGCAACACTGAAAGCCGTACTGAGCCTCCCTGTAAAAGCTTGAACAGCTAGAAATAGCAGAAGATATAGAAAAACCTTGAGTAGACCATTTAGAGTCTTACCAGAGCTACAAGGGGAAAATTTGAACCATAAATCTGGAATATAGCAGTTGATATTGGACACCCAAAATGAATTACTTCCTTAGAAGAAGGTTGAAAATGTTTACATTTAAAGAGAAATTCTCTGCTGAGGAGTTAAAAGAAGTCTGAAATCACCATATTAGTCAACAAATATGGATAAGATAGTTTGAAATTACTGGAAAAGTCTGTGGAAAAAACCTTTGGAATTAAGAACACCCATTACGAGAATCAATAAAACAGTTTTATGGTTCGACTAATAAGAGTGAGAAAATTGAAGGCAGAAGGAAAGTTTAATTAAAATAAGCATTTTAAGTGAAAATCAAATGTTTATTGTGCAAACAAAACATTTCTTTTCAATCAGAAATGTCACTTAATATCAGAGAAAAACTGGAAAGTGAGCGAATCATCTATATTGTTAGGTGGATGGCCATTACATAAAATGATGCTAGCAGTTATGATCCAAAGATAGTTTAGCTCCACTGTTATTAGAGTATGCAGCTATTTTTAGAAACAAAAGTTTCATTCACTGGACTTATCCTGCCATTTATGCAAGTTGTGTTAAAACAATTTTCATCTGATCTTTTCCTCCACTCCAACATCCTCCAGATTTGACTACAGCAACCCCAACACGAAATGATGGGAAGCCTCTGGGAAAGAGAAGAGGGAAATACAGCCTGGATGAACACCAAACATTTGAAGATGAGTTGGGGTCTGGTGTTTGGAGACCAAACTTAGATGAGGTAGACACAGAAGCTGAGGTAAATTGAAGAACACATCCAAAGTGCTGGCAACCAGATAAACTGCAGTTTAATGTGGTTAGCTTAGGAATAAATCTTATCTAAAATTGATGTGAACTTAAATTGAGATATTTTTGATATTAGTCATTTGATGATGTGTTTCCTCCATGTCAGATACGAGCTGAACGCCCTGAAATGGTTATGCCGTCATCAGGCGAACGCTGACAATTGGTGCATCTGGCTTTTGGACATGTTTTCATTGCAGGGAATTTAAACACCTGTGAAATGTGGACACACATTAAATTGTTCAAAAACACTGCTGTTTGTTCAGAGAATATCACCTATGAAATATGGAAGATTCTACTGCTCAGCGGCTTGCTATAATTTAGTTTTTCCTAACATATTTCAGGGTTCTGCAGCTCCAGAAAGCTCAGTGATTATTTAAAATGGTTGATACAGAGTCACATTTTTAAAGTTAAAAGGGTATCTTAGTTTTGAATTCTATGGAATAGCCTGTTAGATTTCATAAAGCACTTATATAATTACACAGTTCTCATGGGAAACTACTTGAAACCTCTGTAATTTCTGTATGTAATAAGATTGACAAATAAGATTGCACAGTTACTGTAAATTCTAGCATATGCTACACCTTCAGCAATATGCATCAGGACCAGTGGACAGCCTTCTAAACAGACTGTAAGAGAATATCATAGGAACAGTAGGTATATTTTGGCAACTAACATTACACAAAAGGATTAATCCAAAGCTTTCTGAACCCAGGAATCCAGTTCATTTATGGCTCAATGATGGGCAAGGACACACTCCGATGTAGTACTGAATCCTATCAGGACAGCATGGATTCTAGGCACAGTCTGTGCTTGATTGCCTGACCTCAGCTGGGCAGCAGTTATCACACAACAGTCAGTTGTCATATCCCTGGCAAGGTAAACCTCCACCAGGTTTTTTTATTCTAGGACCTTACCTCTGTGAGCAAGGACAGGTTGCAATGTGATCTATCCAACTGATAATAGAATGCAGATATTGGTCAGTTGGGAACATGGTGGCATCATCCAGTTGCTCAAGAAAAAAAGGGCAGGAAGAGAAAAGGAAACAACTTGGCTTTGTGCATTTTCAAATAAAAGACCCTTTAGCTGAGATACCAGAGGTTACATGCCTAACAATATGTTAATAGGCAGTGCCTTCAGGAGGGTAGAAAACTGACGCATACAGACAGGCATGATTTGAACCCTTGGGTTTACAGTAATATCTTTAAAGTCTATTCAATTTTCACATTAATCTTTTACAATCAAATCATAGAATGCTTGAGGGAAAGTAGATCAATTGTCTATTTAGGATATGATACATTTCAGCTTTAGGATTGTTGGTGCAGAAAATATGTATTTAAATTATGTAAATTGAGGTGAAATTGAATCTGTTTAATATTGAACCTTTTTCTAATCTTAATTACCTTATGTTTGTTACAAATTAATTATTATTAAGGACTCATTTGCACTGTTTACAAAGAAATAAAATATTTGTTTACATAACGGCATCTATTCCTTATTCACAAGCTTGTCCTTCTCTCAGGTGAAGTAATAAAGTGCAGGATGGATTGGTAATGTGGGAATACCTTATCCTGAGACCCAGATTTAGAAACTCAAGAGTCAAACGAGGAAAGATAATAATTTGACCTCAATGTCATGATTCAATGGGGGTTAAGTATTAGCTGGGGTTCCTGCACCTGCTTATTGTCCAGGCAGAAACCTTTCCACACAAAGAGTTGCTTGAATGTGCCCCAAGAGACTATTGGAGTAAAATCATCCAGATATTGGAAAAGAGATACTTACCTGGGAAGCAGTGATGTCACATAACATGGAGAAAAGGTGGAGAATTGGGATTACGGAGGGAAGGCATGGCTGGCAACATGGCAAAGACAGCACAAGTGGCTCTTTCCTCTCCCTACGTGTGAGCAGCTTGTGGCTCACCAAATTTGTCACTGCAACTTAGACTTGGCTTACTGTTTCAATTCACACATGCGTAAGGGCCACTCAGTGAAGATACCAGAAGGCATTCCGTACTCGTGAAAACAGGCTCCAAATGAGCCAGTGCTGTCAGGAGAGGAGAGGAGAACATGGGAGGGGGAGAAATAAGACAGAATGCTACTCAGCCAAATGTGATCCTTTTTATAGAAGATCAGACTCAAGCTGCAACACATGCTCTCCTCATTTTAAAGAAAATTCTTTATCAATACGTAGACAGATCCCATTTATTATCCATTCTTAACTGCCCTCAGAAGGTGGTGGGTCTAATATTTGAATCATTCATGATCTGAGTAGCTCGGTCGGCTATTTCAGAATCAATCAGGTTGAAGTGACCTATAGAAGACAGATCAGGTAATGACAGCAGCATTTGTTCTCTAAACGATATTAGTGAACCAATGGTTTTACACGTCAATGCAATAGTTTCATTGTCACTATTTATTTCCAATTTATTTCATCACTGGAGGATGCTAACTAGCCACATAGGAAAGTACCAAGGACAGAGAGTACAGAATTTACCAATTTCCAATCCTCCCCAAAAAGCACAACAGTAGATAACATTTATCCCCACTGCCTTCATTCCACGATTAGTGCCCATGCCATCAGCAGTCTAGGTCCTTCCTTTCTAAATCAATGCGTCTTGACCTCTCTTGACTTTTAGGATGTTCCTGAAAATTTTTTTGACCAAACTTTTCATCATTTCTCCATAATAAAGTCATACAGCATAGAAATCAGCCCTTTGGCCCAGTATGTCTATGCCAACCAACAAACGCCAAACGACTCTAATTCCATTTACTTGCACTCAGTCCATAGCCTACTACACTTTGGCATTTTAAGTGCTCATCCAGATGCTTCTTGTGAGACTACCTGTCTCCACCACCCTCTCAGGCAGCATGTTCCATTTTCTACCACCCTCTTGGTGAAAGAAAACTTTCCTCAGATCACCACCAAACTGCTGTTCCTCACCTTAAATTCATGCCCTCTGGTCTTAAGGATGTCTGCCATGGGGAAAAGGTTCCCACAATCTATGTCTGCCTCTCATATTTTGCACATTTCAATCAGATCCCTCCCTCAGCCTCCTCTGCTCCAGGGAAAACAAACACTGTCTTTACAGTTTCTCCTCATTACTGAGATTTTCCATCTAGGCAACATTTTGGTGAATCTCCTCTGCACCCTCTCCAGTGCAATCACCTTTTTCTGGTAGTGTGGCAACCAGAACCGCACACAGTATTTCATCAGTGACCTAACCAATGTGTTATAAAGTTATAACAAGACTTCCTTGCTCCTATATTCTACACCCTGGCTAATGAAGGCAAGCATCCTGTATGCCTTCTTCACCACCTTGTCTACTTGCGCTGACACCTTCAGGGATCCAAGGACTTGAACATCAAGGTACCTTTGTTCCTCATTACACCCTAGGGACCTACCAATCATTGTATATGTCCTTCCTTATTAGATCTCTCAAAATCCATCATCTCACATTTATTCACTTAATCACAGGATTAAATTCCATGTGCCATTGCACTGCCCAATTTACCAGCCATTCATTAGACTTTAGCCTAAGACCATCCTCCTCAGTATTAACAACACCACCAAAGTCATCTGCAAACTTACTAATTATACTTTTTACATGCACATCCATATCGTTAATGTAAACAATAAACAACACAGGTCCCAGCACCACTCCCTGTGGTGCATCGCTGGTCACGGGCTTACAGACACAAAAACAATCCTCCACCATCACCCTCACACGAGTCACTGTCATTGTTTCATAATCCATGTTCCCATGAACTTCCCTGAGATATTTTCCTACTTTAAAGGTGCTATACGAATGAAAGTTGTTGTCACAAGACAGGTAAACATTCCTTACTGAACCTTTGTTAAATTTTCATCTGCCAGCCTCATTTCAGTTTCAGTGCTGGATCATGATGTTTTGTAAGGATGATAACAAAGACTTGGAGGATTAATGCACCATGTAAGATAGCACAAAACCGAACTAGGCAAAAAAAGGATCAATTCGATGGTAAGTAACATCTAATGCATCTTGCATGCACGTGAGATGACACTCACTGGTGGGATAACAAAAGAGTAATGTATTCAAACAATACAGACAGGCGCTCTAAGCCACATCCTGCTCAAAATCCAGGTCCCCTTTCTAGTAAACTTACTGTTCATCACACGGATGTGCCAGTAATATTGATGCAATTGAGTAATATTCAACAGTATGTTATGAAGTGGAGCTTGACCCCTCTCTGAGAACTAAAACCGAAACACCCAAAGAAAAGCACCTCGCCCTATAATCTGTAAAAGGAGTGTGAAAAGTGGTGTAACCTGCTTTTCAGCAACTTCTAGTAGTTAACTAAAATAAATCCCTGACACTCATTTAAAATCAACAAGTAACAATTTACTTATCTAACTCTAACAGTGAACAAATTCACTAAACTATTAACAAACCAAATAAATTCCTTTTAACTACTAACAATTTGCGAATAAAGCAAGATCCTAATGGTATGCTGTTCCAATAAATAGAAGTCCTACTTATATAAAACAAAATAAAAGTAGAATTTAGCCTCTCAAAACTACAACTAGGTTACGTGTCTTCTGGAATGTTCTGTGCCTTCTCCATTGCTTCTTCTGTCAGGAATATTAACTAGTTGTGCCATTGGTACAGTTGGTATTTAGATGGTGCTTTCTCTAAGACATAGAGGAGGTTGTGAGAACCAGCAATTCTCTCTCGAGCACTGAGGGCTACTAGCCCTGGCAGATGGCAGTTAGCTCTGGGGTTTTTGTCCAACTGCCCCATTCTTTTATACCCTTGATGACATAACAAAATTTCTTACAATAGGTTTGCCCTATGTTATCAAAAACATCAAACTTAAATTTAATACGTTTCTGGTATCTGAGTGCCTGGTTCAAATTGATTGGCTAAATTCAAATCAGAGATAGTAAGAACTGCACATGCTGGAGTCAGAGATAAAACAGTATGGAGCTGGAGGAACACAGCAGGCCAGGCAGCATCAGAGGAGCAGGAAAGTTGACATTTCAGGGTCGGGACCCTTCTTCAGAAGCTCATTACCCTATCCCATTCTTTAAGGACTTCCTCATTATTCAATTTATTCTGAGGCAGATCAAAATCCAAATCATCTGGATTTGATTCCTCACTCTGGATGGCAGTAACTAAAACCTGTTTCTCTGGTTCCCCTTCCCTGTCATAGTAATGTTTCAGCATCACATGACTTACCTGATAATTTTTTTTCCTATCTGGCGTCTTTACCAGATAATTCACCTAACTTTACTTCTTCTCAATCTGATATGGACCACTAAACCTTGTTTTGAAAGGATCTCCTACCACTGGTAAAAGCACAAATACTTTGTCCCCACATGCAAATATATGAAATTTAGATTTCTTATCTGCTTCTTGCTTCATTAGGTACTGTGCCACCTTCAAATGTTGTCTAGCTAATTCACCTATTCTATTTAATCTTTCTCTCACCTCAGATACATAATCCAACTGTGAGATCTCTGACTTTGGACCTATCAACTTTTCCTTAATTAATTTTAAAAGGCCCTCTTATTTCATGACAGAATATCAATTCAAATGTAAATTCAAACAGTAAACTGAGTTGATTCATTTGCAGCATCTCTAATAGCAAATAATATAGATAGGATACATTTATCCCAATCATTCAGGTAATCCTGGCAATAAGCCCTCAGCATAGCTTTAGGGTCTGATGCCACCTTTCCAGTGCTCCCTGGGATTCAGGATGGTAAGCACTTGATTTAAAGTGTTGGATGCCTAAACTATCCATGACCGCCTTAAATAGTTTGGCAGTAAAATTGGACCCTTGGCCTGGCTGAATCTCCCCGGGTAATCCATAATGGGTAAAGAAAGCGAGCAACTCCTCCACAACCTTTCTTGCCTTGACATTCCGTAATGGAATTGCCTCCAGAAATATGGTGGACACATCCATTATGATTAGTAAATACTGGTTTCCACTTTTGGTTTTAGTGAGGGGACCTACACAATCAATTATAACCCATGTAAATGGTTCTTAAAATATGGGAATTGGTAGCAAAGGTGTTGGTTTTATTATTGCCTGTGTCTTTCCTACCATCTGACACATATGACAGCAAAATTCAACCACATTTTTATGTAATCCAGGCCAATAGAAATATTTCTGTATCTTAGCCTGAGTCTTCCTCACTCCTAGATGACCTCCTACAAGTAATTTGTGTGCTACCTGCAATACTTCCTGTCTGTATGCTATCAGCAACACAATCTGCTGAACTTCTGCCCATTTCTCCTCTGCAGTAACCTGCCAAGGTCTCCATTTCCACCTTGAGATTCTATCTTTAGGTAATAGCATTCAGGAATACATTCTGATTCCTTTACCAAGTAGGCTTTATGATATAAATCCTTTATCATCTCATCTTTTTGTTGTAACTCCATTAGTCTTTCAGAATTAAA